CGGCGTAACCTTTGTGGTTGCTCCAGCGCTTGTGACGTGAGCAGCGCGCGGTTTGAACTCTGTCATCCTTGCTGCTACGCTAGAGCGCGATTATAAGGTGGACTTATTTTTCCCTTTGAGAAATTCATAGTTCCGTAGCTCACGTTTGAGTGATCTCACTTCTGGAGCGTATTTCCACCGCGTGAAAGACGAATTGTGATCGTTGAAGTCAAGAGGTATGGAGCTGAGCGGGGAGAGGGGGGTTGTTCTTGTGCTGAGATGGCAGAACTGTCTATACATCTGAGCAGCACGAGGCCTTCCGACTATCCAAGTCGTTCTGTTCAGGACTTCAGTTCCTCTCCCGAGGTTCTCACACTTTGTTGTGTTGTGGTGTGGAAGTGTCGACAAAGCCGATAGTCGCCAGTGCGCCAGGGCTCGTACTTGTGGATCGTACTAATCCACATGTCTACGAATATGCTAGAGGTTTTTTTTCAACTACCGTCCCAATGAACACTCTAGCGGAGTTGTCGTTTTTTCTGTTAGTGGAAAGAGGACGAAATGCGAGATTATGTCATTCTTCGCAAATACGCCCATCGTGAGTGTGTGTCTTGTTGAGGGTGTCGAGTCGTTCCTCAGATTCATTCTCCCATGTGAATCCACACTTATGGTATTGCTCAGTAACCAGCTCTTCTCGCGCGCCTCAGCCGTACATGGAGTAGGGATAATGGCTAGCGGATTGATCTTAGAGGTATCCTTGTGTGTTCTCGCGAGCGCTAAGTCGCTTGTTTTCTCGTAAGATATCTGCTCATTCCACACAATGCTTTTCGATACGTTTGAGTAGCATGTGCTCTCAAGAGATGGACCGAGTGTGCAGCTGTATCAAGAATGAGGTTAGCTTTCTAGATCAACTGCAACTGATAACTCCGCCATGCTGCCGAGCGGAGTAGTACTATGGAGTCACTTGTGGGCATTAGTAGTGTGATTCGTCCACTGATAATCTTCTGTGCTTTGGAGATTGTCGGATCTGATATCATATCATACTCAAAGCCCATTGGCAAGGGTATACTCTTGTATTCGTACTTTCCCAATGGGAGTACGATGGTACTGAGTTGTTTCGAGTGAGGTGACAACTCAATGTGATAGTATCCCATGATCAGGTCTAGACTAGTTGGTGTACTTGAAATCCGTCTAGTGTTAATCAGAGACCGAGGATGTCCTGTATTTTTTGGATATGATAAGGCTTCCTCTTAAGCCTTTTGTTTAGTTCCCGGAAATCAGATATGAATCGTATAGATCCATTCTTTGTGGGAATGATAAAAGTTCGGGCCGCCCATTCGGTAGCGGATTCACCACTTCTTTGACGGTACTCTCCTGCCTCGTCAGCAGTAGACGTTCACACCACCTCCATCTTAAGAGTGTTGGTCTGAGCACAACCGCGGATTCAGGCCATAATCTCTCTATATAGGCATGCAGATCAATGAGCTCTCTGCGTGAGGAAACCGCAGTTTCACCTAGCACTCGTATCGTGAGTTTGTGGCAATGATCACAAGGGCCGGGGATGGTGCCAATCCCCATTTGCTAGATACAGCAGACAGAAAGTCCAGAGTATTACTTCCCTCGTGAATCAATGCTCTATGATGGCACGGGGAGAAACTGATTATAGGAGCTGCTATCCGTCGTTAGGTCTATCTTGGTACCCTTATTCAAACCTGATTTTGACTTTGGCAAACCTGCCTTAAAAGTCAGCTTGTTCTTATTTCGCATAAAGGAGTAAAAGAGTACTTCTGTGAGATGGAACTGAGTATCTGACACTGTCATTCCATTGAGCTTCAGAATCTAATCTCACGTGCAGACTACGATTCGACGAAGTGAACGAATATCTCTTCCTTAGATGGATGTCGAAGAGCATATTAGTGTGATATCAGTATAGCAGGGGTGAAAGACTTTGCCAGTGTGAAACTTTGGTGTACTACTGGCCAGGCTCAGGGAACTAGGTGGTCAAGCTCGACTATGAAAGGAGCATCCTGAATACATATGCTAAGTCAGGAAGAGAAAATGGTCCTCGACTAGATGATATAGTGATAGAGACGCCCCAAACTCTTGGTGAGTGTAATCCCAATCGATAATTTCGTGTGTGTGTCAATGAAAATGCAGCTTTGCACTTCGTGCTGGTGTTTAATTCTCTGCAGGGGTGTCCACATCGTTTGGACGGCCCCAAGATCCTTCATGCGTAATTTCTTAGCATGAGTTTGAGCAATCAAGTTCCGGTATGCTTCTGTATCCAGTAAGCAACGGAGTGTAACGGGTTTTGTTTCCTTTTTCTGCTTGTTAAATATAACATAGACGATGTTTGAGGTCTCTTGTCTTGCGACGTTACGAGGTGGTTGACCACGGACGAGGTTAACGATGCTAAATAGATCTCAGAGTCTAGTTGAGCAGCTTCAGGCAAATCAACTAATTTGCCGTAGAGTTCATCGGTTGCAAACACATCTTGTTTACTAGTTAGTGAGATATTTTCATCACTTGGTATGAAAAATCGATAGAGGAGTTGTCTCTTGTAAGAGTCTTCTGATTTGCGCTTGGCAATATGGTTGCGAAGTTTCAGGTGGTTGCACGAGTATCGTCGATCTCGGTGATCTTGTCATTGTCGACGAGAGGAAGAAGGGTTTGTCACGCAACTGTTCTCAAGTTGCTGAACGTATGCTTTCCTTGAGCTATATTTCATGGTGAAGGAATAGGTTGAGGGTAGCTGAAAGCTATTGTGTTTGTTAAAAAATTGCACTAACGCTAAAAGCTAGTGTAAAGATCTTTCGAGTGTTTTGTGTTTAGAGAATGAAAGTTATGAGAGAGATTAGAAAGCTATGAAAACTAATCAACGAGAGAGATCACCATCAAGGATCGTAGATCTGGTCTCTCCGCGGGAGACTATAAAGTGTGATAGAGTAGGTTGCGGTAGTAATCCTACGTATCTCCACGATCCTAAAACGGAACGCGTGGAAGATTCGTCTAGCATGGATCTAGTAGCGTGGAAGTACTCCATGCTGGCTAAATATCTAGAGCGATGCATGTTTCATCATTAACCTAGTATGACTAGAGCGGTCATTGAGAACCCTGTCTCAATAACTATTCACGAGAGACTCAGTCATGAGTCGAACTCAAACCCTATCTAGGATCGAGTCGCGAATAAGGCTAAGAGCCGTGTATTGCATGATGATTCTTACCATTTCGCGCAGTTGGAGCAGGTGCCATCACAATCAAGGGATGATCGTTGGATGTGCCGGTCAATTCCTGAATCACCTCTTCCAATTTCTTGCCTGATTTATATTTGTTCTCGTCACCAGAAGATTACACCACAAGAGCTGCAGAATCGCAATGGTTGAGTCCATTCTTCATCTTGTCTTTAACGGCCTCTGCCAAGGCATCAATATTCCATTCTCTTTCCTCTACATCCTTTGGTTTTTTCACTGAAGTGGGTCGGCCCTCCGGTTCATTCTTTCCCTTGTAGTAGAGCTGAACCCAAGCAGATGAAGAAGACATATTGGTTGTCGTCACTAGTTCTGTTTGTGCCCTCTCAGTCGACGCCGCGATTCGCCGCAAGACGCTCCAATGAGGCTTGTTTGTACGAGTGTATAGGTACGAGTAAACGCTCAGTCGCCGCGTGGCTCAGCTGGCTTTAAATCTGAGGGGGAATCTTAGAATAACGGCTGTCCACCCTCCTTAAATCCTTAAACATATTACTATAGGCAAAATAGTAGGGTGGACCAGGGACCGAGGTGAGGTAATAATGGTTGGCCTCACCTCCGGTCCCCCCATCAGGATTAGAGATATTTATTGGCTAACTGCCTCCCTTGTTTTGTGGTACGAAACTCGTGAAGTCGACGAGGGAATCTCGCGAAGTCGACACTCAATCCATAGGTTAGCCCAAAGTGGGCTCGCCGGTATTGTGCAATGAGTTGTATCATATACGGACAATTTGAATCCAAATGACACATTTCCCTCTTTCGGAGGTATATTGACAAATCGAGACGGTACGACAAGGAATTGGTGGACTGCGGAAGCGGCGGGTCTAGCTAGTACTTCATTGCGTCTTCCCGATTCAGGAAGAGGAGAGACTAAATCTAACGAAGAAAACGCCCGACACCTGGGCACTCCAAATCCCATCCCCGGCACGACCCTTATCTCCGGACTCTGCACCTGGACAAGCTCCAGTTCGTACCAGTTCGTACCGGTCCTCATAACACAACTTCCCCGGCTGAGAGGGCCACCCCAATGATTGTGGGGGGTTATCAGTTCAGGGTAGCGGCATGGTGGACAAGTGGTACTCAGAGTAGCTTTAAAAAAATTGACTTCTATTACTTTGGTCCTAATAAAACAACTAGCTAGAGGCCCCACCCCAGCACAACGCTTAAACGCGGACTTACACCGTGCCGTGTCCAGCCAACTCTAGTACTTGACAAGTGCGTACCACGCGCGTGGGAGAAGATACATACATGTACCCTCGGAAATTTGAGATCAGTAGTCTAGTAGAGCGATGGTACTGTGGTTCGTCGCCAGTGTCCTCTAGCTAGAGGACCGTCTCATGTTCGTATCTATTTCTATGAGCATAATTTGTTGGTAAGGTGCTCGACAACTTGAACCAGGCACCATGGACAACATAAAGGTCGTCCAAGCGGTTTGTGATTTTCTCTCTTTCCCGGACATCGTCTTTCTCGGTTGTTCTGGCAAGAAACTGGAGAAGCTATGCAGAGACGTAATAGCCCAACAAGTAGATGTTAAAAGGCAACAGCTGAAGAACATAGCAGGAGAGGCAAAGGCAGACAACGACGTTGCTGGGAGAACAGAGGAGTTCGAGAATACCATCGACGGCGATGCACCAGAGGAGGTTAACGAGGGTCCAGCTCTGTGGACACAGACGACCGAGCTGCTCCCAAGAACGACGACGAAGAATCAGAAGCCGGTTCGGAAATTCGGAGGAAGCGTTTAGCCTTACCGAATCGGAGAAAGAGTTTCACCGAAAGAGGATGGAGGAATACACCCATCGTTTGGAGGAAAGGAAAGAATTTGAACGGATCCCAACATACCTTGAGCTCTCGTTCCAAATCAGTGTGATGGCACTCACAAAGTCCGGCCAAGAGCTGAACGTGTATTACAATTTGAAATCCGCAGCACAAGGAGGTCCTATCAAAGTGACGGGTCTTCACTTTGCGGCCATGCACGGAGACATTCAGCTGTGTCGCCTGCTACTGTGTCGTGGAGCTCATGTGAATGCCAACATATTCATTCCAAACGACCAGGAGAGCAGTGATCTCAGCCAGGAGGCGGCAAATCGAGCAGATGGTAGGGATTGGAGCCAATATGCTTGGGGAACCATAACTCCTCTACGTTTGGCTAAAGTGTTTGGATTTGCTGACATCCGAAACAGGGCTCTTTGAGGGCGCCGGAGGCAAACCCGGTGGAACAGCTGTTGCCACTCTTGAACACCAAACCATAGGTTCCTCCTTCGCCATCCGTGGAAACCCCGGGTTTCCATCAATGCCACGCAGCTCATGCTGGACCAATGCCAACGGTGATGAGATCATGTATCTCAACACCTATATGCATGGTGAGAGGGTGTATGCTTCTCTCTTGTTCAAAAGAGGGGTTGACCCTGTGAACGAAAAGGCCCTGGATGACATTGCAAGTGAAGCCAAAATGGCGAATATAAGGCGCGACCTCGGGTTATCAAGATGATCATTGATTGGTCCGTTCCGCCGCCTCGCTCCGGACGCATTTCTCAATTCATCGCAGATCAACAGACACCGGTACTACTAGCTAGCTAGTGTCAACAGTAAGATCAATCAGGTCGCTGTCAAGGACCGTCGTACCAGGTACCGCTTCTGGCGTCCAAGATACTCTCCCAGTAGCTACCGTACCGCTACCAGCAATAGCCATTCCTCAAGTCTCAATTTGATGCAGAATCGAGCATTTATTTCTGCACTTCTGGACTGACAGGTGGTCGAGTGAGCTAGCTAGTCGGGTCGAGTCAGCACGCCATCTAGAAGGACGTGCGGGTGGCGGCAATCTCAGCGCAGAGGAGTTGCTCACGTGCACCAAATGATGTCGACGACCGATGGGACGAGCCATATTTGTTGCTTTCGTGACGTGCGTCGCCCATCAGAGCGAGCTGACGTTGAACAAGAGATACCACCACACAATGTCATTGCCGTGACAGTGAGCGGGGTGCGGGACGCATCAGCGCAATGCGAAAATTCGCTAAACAAGAGTGGAAATTGTTGGTGTAGCAGACACCACGGTTGATGACGCGTACATCGCAGGTTTTGTTTGGGCAAAACACACGCAGAGGAGAGGGGACTGGACTATACACATTGCACAAGAACTAGTATACCAAGCATCGGCCAGCCGTAAAACCGTACTGCTATGGGTCCAGATGCATCGCTCGGCTGCTAGATTCAAGAAACTCATGTGGGCTAGCTCTAGGAGGGTAAGACAAAAAGTAGACGGAAAATGATGTTTAGGGCACTGTCTACCGGAGGTGACTAAACGCGCGCTTTAAGATTGTTTAAGACTGGTATTTAATCGTTTGTTTAGTCGAAAAGCTTTAAGATCGTCAGTGTCTACCGTGTTTCGACTAACCATGCACACTAACGGTTAGTCGTGAGTTTTGTCGAAAATTTTAGACTGATCAGTATCTACCAAAACACGCCTAACGGTTCGACTAAAATCCGTCCACTCGCTCGCTGGAAGGAAAATCGCAACCTCTCTCATTCAGTCATTATTCCTGTTGTTGTTGTGCTCTATTCCATTCCACTCCCTTTGTTGTTGCTTTTGACTCTATTGATCAGCACCATGGCCTCTCGAGATGATGCCTCTGCTGCTACTACTACTACTGATGATGGAAGTCAGTCTGCCGATTCCAAGGCTTTGAAGAAGAAAGATGATGGATCTATTGATACTGCAGATCTCAAAGAAAAGCTCGCTGAATCTGTCAAAGAGTCTGTTGCCATTGCCACAAGAAGTCGTCCATAATGCACTGGTACGCCCTATCGTGGTCATAGACACGACGTTGATTCCTCGAAAATATACGGTGGTCAATCGAATCAATGTCCTCTCCATCGCTGTCAACGACATCCATGACGACCGACTGGACCGTTGCCAAATTGGCTATCAAGTCGAATGCGTCCTGATCCTCTTCCGAACTGCTGCTAGAGGAATCCATAGAGGTGCTGAATAGTAAAAGTGAGGATAATAAGCGGTAGAGATACAGATAACAAGAGGCAAGTAGTTGGTTGGTTGGTTGGCTTGTTGCTGCTGTTGCTGCTGCTGCTGCTGCTGCTGCTTAAAAGACTGTTAGTCAAGCCTTTTGTGTTGGTGAGCAATTTTCACTAAAGAGCCTCCCGTTAGTCAAAAACGACGACCTTTGACTAATAACGAGTTTAGTCGAAAATAGCTTTAGTAGCATGGGTAGACACTGCCGAAAATACTAAACTTTCGACTAAACGACGATTTTTGGTTTAAGAGCGCCTTTAGTAGCTTCGGTAGACAGTGCCCTTAGTTACGATTAAGGAGGTACAGTAGTAAAGAAAAACAATACATAGCCATATCAAAAAATCATAGAAGCGTTCCATTCTGTTGTTCCCGACGCTGCTGAAATAGAATATCTTCTCCCAAAGAGTGGTACTTCTAATAAGAGTGAAACCATTTCACATGGATTCCGCTCTTCTTTCTTTCCCTGATCGTTTCACAAATCTCGTTCTCTTTTGGTTCGCTCTCGAAACCGGTTGGGACACCGCGAGGTCCCGCGATGCACCCTTATCATTCCTAGCAATCCACAAACCCAGGGATTGTTAGCCAATGCGGCCAGTCAACTAATCTATGTACAAGACCTCAGCTGATGGTTCGTCCTCTGCGCCTGCTTGCTTCTCTGCTTAAACTGCGAGACCATGATGACGACGCACAAAGGGTGCCGAGAGGACTTGAGCCGTCTTGTTCAGAATCTTCTTGGGTGTGACGCCGGTAACACGAATGGTCTGAAGGGTGGCGCGGTATGCCTGGAAGAGGCAGAAGCAAGTCCACACACCGGCAATGCTTCCAGTGCCAAAGGTAAAGAGGGCTGTAGGAAAGACGGCAGTGCTAACCATGTACATGATAGCCAAGAACCACGCCTTGTTGCGAGCCAACAGGATTCCCTCAGTGGCACTCATGGGTCCCATCAAAAAGGTGGCCCACCACAAGAACTTGGCCAGAGCGGGCAATGCTTGTTGCACGGCCACATCGCCTGTCAGAGTGTGTCCCAAAGACATGGGCACAACCGCTCCCGCCGTGGCGACGGTTGCGGCAATGACAAAACAGGACTTGAGGAATGTGTTGCAAACCTTGTCGGAGGCTGCGTTCCACTTTCCAACGACTTGATCATCTTTTTGCTTGTAGGTAGCATCACTTTGCTTCATCTTGGCGACATGGTCCTTGACGGGTGCGTAAAAGGGTGGAAGGAATGTTTGTGCAGTCTGGTTGATGACTTCCACAAAGGGGCACAAAAAGAGAAAGAGACTGAGGATGATTTGATGGGACGCCAAGGGAGTGGTGGTTCCAGGAACACGAGCGGCCGCCTGTGTGAGGAATCCAAAGACGCCAAGCTTTCCAGCGAGGAGTAGAATGACGGGAGCCGAGAAGGAGAGGAACTGCTTGACGGAGATGGCACTCTTTCGCTTCAAGTTGAGAAGACCGAGCTTGCCACTTTCCATGAGCTTCTTGCGAGCCGGAATGATCAAGGCAATGGTGGCGGCCCACTGAGCGGCCGTGGTGGCAATGGCGGCTCCCTTGAGCCCCATGCCCAACTGATTGACGAGGAACCAATCACCGACAATGTTTACGATTGTCGAATACCCAATGGCTTTGAGCGGAGTGACACTGTCCTTGGCTCCTAATAGTGCACTTTGCAAGACACCCAAGAGGAGAAAGGAAGGCATGGACAATGCACGGATCGTCAAATAGGTACTGGCACCGGCAAGGATTCCAGGAGTGGCAGCTGCCTTGGGACCTGATCGATCGAAACAAGAAAAGATAGTATGTGAGATTCGAGTTCGCTTTTCATTGGTACCACAGCACAACACAACACAAAAAGCATTCTGATATCTTACCCATGTATCCAGCAAGGATAGGTTTGCAAAAGGTAATCAGAATGGTCATGATCCCGAGTCCAATGGTCAATCCGACCCGAGATCCCGTCCGAACGACTCCTTCGGCCTCTTCGGTGGATCCCTTGGCGAGCGCACTCGAGTAGAGATTGGTGGTGGCGACATTCAAAAAGCTAAGGAACCACGTCAGACAATCAAAGAGTGTGGTGGCGGGTCCCAGGGCGGCCAGTTCGACCGATGTGGTGCTGGCCAAACCCACAAACATTGTGTCGACTAATGACAACAGAGGTCCACTGAGCAAGAGACCAAAGCAAGGCAAGGCAAACTTTCTCAAGTCTGTCATGGTCGGTAATGGTGGAATGTCATGCTCCGAGAGAGCGGAAGAGAGCTCTTGTTGCTGTCGTATCAGTTCTTCCGTCTCGGTATCCACGAGAACTGGCTGTTGTTGTTGTTGTTGGTAGACTTGGTCTGGGTCGAGAATGAGTTCCTTGTTGAGTTGAAACGACTCCAGGGCTTCTCCAATCGGACTGGCTGTTATCAGTTGTTGCTCTTCCGAACTTTCTTCGTCCACATAAAAGACATCCACGGGAGCTCGCCCTGGTATGGAGTGCCTAGCATTTTGGGGCTGGAGTGACAGGGGCCTTCCCGTGGAAAATGCCTGGCTTCTTGTCGTGGCCAAACACAAGACCAAAAAGATCGTGGCCGACTGGCTGTTGCAGGATAACAATGACATGATGATTTACTGTTGTTGCTTGATAAAATAAATGAGCTGGTCTTCTTGTTGGAGTTTGTTTGTTTGTTTGTATGTTTCTATGGCAGACAAATGATGAGATACTATAGATGTTGTGAGCTGAGTTGGATTGTGTTCTCTGCTTTGGCTTGATTCGTTCAGACACTGGGAATTGGTGATTGCTTTTGGCTGAGAGCAAAATTATGAGGCTTTCAAGAGTCGTTTTGATTCCTTGTGCCTTGATTTCTTGGGTTCCTTCTCCTCTCAACCAAGCGATACAAGAGTGAGGGTTTACTCGAGAAAGGTCGGACCGTTCCTCCAAAGAGCAATTTTAATTTTGGACCTCGCAAAGAGACGCGAAAGTGCATTTTCATTTTGCCTGGGCTCTACCGTTTCTCATGATTAGTTTTGAATCAATTTTATTTAAACTAAAATAACTCGCATTTGAAAGTCGCAATAGTTCACAAAAGAATTCAAGAATTGATTTCTAGTCAAAACAAAGTAAGTAATCACTGTTTTGATATGATATAGAAAACAAACAACCAGTAACTCAAAATAACTCGGCAGTCTTGGGAATGCAGGAATTAAAAAATCAGCGATGACAACCGGCATTGAAAGTAGGATTCCGATTCTCAATTCCTGCATGACACCGCGCCGGCACGGCAACGGTGGTCAAAGCAGTCAAACCAGTATTCGGTGGGGTTATCCCAAAAGGTCACCGGTTATATTGAGAGACATTGAAGTTCGGTTTCAGAAGTGTTCGTTGGCCATTTTACTATGAAGGCTAGTCCCGTATTGTGACTGTTGTTAATTCCATAGCACAGTCATAGTTACAAAAAGACATTGAGATGACTTTGGAGACACTAATGGTCATTGGCACGTACGCCATCTGGGAAGGATTCATTCCTCGACAGAGAAACCAGATGCAGAATTCCATCTGGGGTTGATGTGCCCCTCGTCATGTTCGTGACCTGACACGAAGGAAAGCCGGCAAAAATGAATGGATCTCCAATTCGATCCATTTCTCTTCGAATGGATTTCGATCAGCAGCCTCGAGCTACGTGAACTTTCCCCGGCCTTCAGAAGTGCTCTGGAAACATCGGGAGTGCTCCGGCAAAGGCAACAGACTTTCAACGAGCTACGATGGTACCATCGATTGTGTAGCTAGGTACAGTAGCTCGCAAGGCAGAGTAGCAGGCATAGCTGCAGCTTTACCTTTCCAAGAGCATAGCCTTCTTTTTGGAATCGAGAGGCACATGGCTTGCTTTGTTTGGCAGATCTCCTTGAAAAATAGAATCAGAATCCGCAACAGGGGGCGACGAGCTTTCAGGGGGGGTCCTTCCTTCGACGCAAGGATGGTGCGAATCTGTTGCTTCTCTGTTCCTTCTATCTTTTCCTTCGTGGCTCTTCAGAATCGAATCGTTCATTGTCTCATGCAACGTGCCCCATTTCAGGAGGCAGGTCACTTGCTCATCTCGCTGCCTGGTGATCTCGTCAACCAGGACTCTGGGCTGCGACATTCTGTGTAATAGATGTCCTGGTGCCACTACCAGCTACTATCTAGCTAAAGAACGGCACTACAGTTTGCCTTTGGCAAGAGCCGAGCACGACAGTGCTATTTTGGAATGAAGCGAATCGAGTCCACGTTCGTGCGCACACCGTGGAACTTTGGCAGGAACGCTCCTGTGTGCCGCGCTCATGGACGAAACTGGTGGAGATTAGGGTAGCTTCGGGGTATCGGTAGCACTTTGTCCCAATGAATTGAGTAGGTCGCTCAGGCCCAATTTCAAAGAGAGGGTCCAAGAGCTCGTTGTTTTGCCAAGATGATTTTTAGCCGCTTCAATCTCATGAATGAATCTCGCTGGGCTTCGCGTATCATTTGTTTATTCGACCGGAACAGTTTCCTTCTTCACTCCTCGTGTTGACTCTACGTTCCCAACCACTGTTACGGCAGAACCGAAGGCGGGCGTTCGCAATGTATTGAGCCAGCTTTCAAGAAAGCAGCAGCCATGCGGTGAACCAGGGAGATGCAATGCTAAATCAGCAGCACTGCTCTTGGGGCTAGCAACTTGTTGCTTGTTGCATCGCCATCCCAGCCAGACGAAAACCGCATCACTCAGACGACGCACCCATATGCAATGCTGCTCCGATTGACACCATTAAGGGGATCAGAAGCTGGATACCCAGAACAGAAGCCTTCAGATGAGCATACCGTAGTCCAATTGAAGGGCATCTGCATCAATCGCTGCAGTCTGCAGACCCAATCGGTTTGGGTGGGAGTTTGGCTTGCTATTGTACTGCTTGCCCACAAGAAAACAAGCGTACCGGTACAGTGTAACTCCCGCTTGTTGTGCCGTGGACAGTGTGAAGTGTGAAGGACGAAGGGCATGGAAGGGTCATACTCTAGTAGGGGCAGGGCGGCTCCTTTCTTTTCTGTTCATCTTCGGGTAACGGTTCCTATTCAAGAACCAGTCAATGCTTATGCATAATATGTCAAGTAACCAGTACAGTAGCAAAGTACTACTCTGGGACACTGGCAACAAGACAGTGGACTGGCGGTATGACGTGGATTAGAAACTTGAATGTCGCATTCTTTATGACTGTTGAGCTTGACCTTTGCCAAAAGATATTAATGATATCAATTTCGCTTCATTCTGTTGCACCTCCTTGGAAAGAGGTCCAGTCAAGGGGACCACCACGTACCGGTACGGTGAAACATGTAAGCAATGGAGGCCTTGCCACTTTGTTCAAAATTTATTTGGTGATGTAGTGCCATGTGCCATGATGTGAAATAATTGAGAGTGTGAGAGAAGCAAATTTGCTTGCCTACGCTTCAATAGGAGCAAATAGGAGTACTACACAGTGTAGCCCGTCCGAGAGGAAAGCCGAGCTATTTTCGATACATGGCTGGACGATCAGGTAAGCGGCAGGTCAATGGGCAATGGTCCTCGCCACCCTAAACGTACTAGCTGGCCATCCTTCTAGTAGTAGCATCAATCTGGCACCAGTACTAAGCTGGTAAAGTTTCAGACTAAGAACTAAGGATGCATGTATCATGAAAAAAGGAGGATGGGAGCAACTGTCTAGAAGCGATTACTGTACCAGTACTCGAGTAGCCATCCACATGGCTTGTTCGGCATCCATCCACCTTACTACTAGGCAGGTGGTGTCCTCTATCTGTCAAATCAGCCATTCTACAAAGGCAGACTGCGCTGGCTGTGGTTCTGTGTTTTGTGGTCCCGGCCCAAAGGAGCAATCCCAGAGCCACTGACCAGCTACAATGATTCCCATTAGGTCCGAAGCTCAGTTGCTGAATGGCTATCTAGCTGTATTTCACAAGATGCTCTTCTTCTATCTTCTGCAAATTAAATAAAAGAGCTAATAAAAGTAAGATAGGCAGCAAAGGATCTTCAGATCTTACCCTCTGAGCTCCCTTCGTCGAGACGGCAACTTGTGGCCACGGTTTGTCACAGTAACCAGTGACTTTGGTTTTCTTAAAATAAGGGTCTTTCTTTTGAAGCATTAAATCCCATTGCCCAGCAACTACTAAGTACAGTATGTGGCAAGGTACCCTTCAATGCATCTACGACTACCAAGAGGGTGAACTGGTTCCAATATCTCAGCCGAAGCCGAATTAGAGTCTTTGCGTGGCAGTCTTACCCTGCAGAGTTAGCAGCAGGCAAGAAGAAGTCGCCAGCGCAACTAAGAGTAAAAGTTAGTGTAGGTGACCCATCGAGTCAGAGTCGAGTCAAGACAAGGCAACAAACATCCATAGAGCTCTGGCAAGCCGTGTCCTTGTGGCGTGAAGGTTCATCCAGAAAGAGCAATCAACAGTCGAACAACCGCGACATCTGAAGTAGCGCTTATCATCCCCGGCTACCCTGACTTAGGCTCACGCTTTTCTGCAAGTTAGGTAGTACTGTACTCGATTGGGTAACAGCAGCAACGAAGACGAAAGTAGCAAGGAAGAAGCAGCTAGTCCAAGGCCAGCCATGGCGGTATGTGGCAGCAGCGAGAGCGCAACGAGAACGAATGATTCCTTCCACAACGGTAGCAGTCATCATCAAAAGCCGGTAGTGGCTCGAAGACGGCGGAGCAGTGGAAGTAGCAGCGTCGGTGGGAGTGTGGGTAGCTTTGACCAACCCAAGAAGAACATGAAACGACGGAGTCCCCGTTGCATATCGGCAGCGGGGGGTATCCCCAGTCGATGGCTTGTGGATTATCGACGAAAGCAAGCTCAGTTATCCGCAAACTCCTTGCTGCGACTGCAGAGTTTGGTGGACAGTACTCGAAAGGCAAGGCCGCCACCCGACAATATTGATTCCTACTATTATGACACGGAAGAAGAAGAACAAGACGACAATAACCGAGATAGTGGGGAAGAAGGAGGAGACGATGGCAGTGATCAGGAAGACCAAGAACTACGACAACAAGGCTCTAGTGGAGCCAGTATTTCCTCTTCCTTGTCTTCCCTGTCAACAGCAGGGGATCCCCTTCCGCAGCGACTGTCAGCATCGCGGTCTCTATCGCCCAAGCCTCCGTCGTCCCGTCCGTTATCTCCCAAACCTCCGACTTCGAGGTCATTATCGCCCAAGCCTGCTCCCAAGAAAAACTCCATAAAAGTGCCCTCAGACGATCCTCTCGAGGGAGATTCCGAACATTCCATTGGCATCCATCAAGTCTTTACCGCATCCGCTCATACCAACGATACCGGTACCACCCAAGATAACAGTCAAAGTCGGTATCAACGCTTTAGTATATCCGTCACCATTTCCGATTACAACGAAAAGATTCAATTCCTACTGCGCAATCCCGAAGTCGTCAAGGCGGTACGGAAAGCGCTGCAGCAACCGACGGAAGAAGCGTCTGAATCCATTTCCCACGCCCACAACAACAATACTAGCAACAGCAGCAGGTCACGGCGACAAATCAAATGCATCATTCCTCACGATCGATTCCAGTTACCGCAAATGCAAGCCGTTCGACCCGAACAAAGACTGAGCAGTGGCAGTGCTAGTGCGACTGGCAGTGCCCTTGGCTATCACCATTCGGGCACCAATCTAGCGGCCAAATTGCACTGTATTGCCGAAGATTACGAAGTGTCGCACAGCGAAGTCTTTACCCCCGATGAGGACAGTACTACTGTCACGGGCGACAACAACGACAATCACAGTCATCATCGACAAGCCAAGCGTCGTTCGACTGGTCAATCCTGGTCATCTTCCTGTAGTTCCTTTGCACAAGATTCGTTTGGAGGTGGGAGTAATAATAGTAGTGTCGAGGAAGATCTCGACAACAGCAACAACAAGAACGACAATAACCATCATCACCATTCGAATGCGGAGCTCGACGACGACGACAGGTCCGAAACGAGTACCATTGCTAGCATCCTTTCCACAACGCTGCTAGAAGGCGACGACGACGAAGACGATGCGGAAGAAGAAGACATTTTCCTAAGAGTCGTGGTCAAACGAAAAGAGGAGAAAGTTCAGGATGTCCTCAACGCAATTGCAGCCACGGACGATGAAGACACCGTGCCATCGCAGCGTTCCGACGCGCAAGTAGCGACATCCACAGACGAGGATTCGTCCTCCTCCTCCTCTTCGTCGGAAAGTGAAACGGAAGAAGTCGAAACCGACGCCGATAGTGCTCGTGCATCGTCGTCCATTGCATCCAGTACCATCCAGGGATCGGTAGCGTCCAGCACGGCCAATGGCTCCTTGGCAGACCGGTCGACTGCATATTCTGTGTCAGAGAGTACCATAGCCGACTCGGTCGCGGCCGTGGTGACGAGTTTGTTGGACGATGGCGCAGATGACGAAGAGGAAGAAGAAGAGCTGACGGAAACAGAATTTACGTACGAAGGATCCAATGCCGCGCTTGTAGCGGATGACGACGACGATGATGATGTCACGGAATTTGCACATGAGGATGATGATGTTTCCGAGTTTGCAGAGGAGGATGACACGGAAGCAGCATATGATGAAGAGGCAGCAAGCTTTCGAGAGGTCGTGGCGGAGTTTGACGAAAGTGAGGCTGCCTTGGATGAGACGGAAACAGGAGAAGCAGAGGAGCCGATTGAATATGCTTCCGAAGTTGGTGAGGAAAATACGAGCAAATTGACGAACGGTCAACCACGACGACAACTCTCAGAGATTCGTGAAGATGCCGATGGGCCAACCGACATTACGGAAAGATCAACTCACGAATCGGACGCAGGATCCACGAGAGATGGAGCGGAGGAACCACAGACCGATGGAGAAGATTCCTGCTTGACAAACAATACAGACAATTCCTCCCAACACAACCTCACCTACGGCTTGTCCGTGTACCTATCAAACCATTCTCCCCGACGAGAGTGCTCTAGCAGAGGCCTGGTCAAGAAGGCGGACTGCGGTGACTCAAAAACGTGCATGACAGCGTCGGAGACTTCCGTTTCGCGCTCCACTAACGGTTGTATGGACGAGTCAGCTCAGACATCCAACACAAACAAAACTGGTTCCTCAAAAGGGACAAATGCCACCCTTCGGACCTACTCCTCCCATCGCACCGCCGGAACCAATCGCACCAGTAATAGTGCCCCCGGTGCACTGCTGACAACATCGGATCGAAACCATTCTTGCAGGTCGCTAAGCAGCACGAGGAGCCAACTCGACGAATCGATCCATTCTCGGAGTTCCTTCTCCATGGACGATCTGTCCAGAGCGTCGTCTGCACCAGTCGAAGAGTCCCGCGGATCTCGCAGGAGACGAAGGCCGAGCCTTATGCTGGCGGAGAGTTCCCGTGACACTGATGTTTCTGGTTCATCATTAATCACGGAAAGCGAAGCTGATGACAGTACGGTTGGTTCATCTGTGGATCATCGCCGTCGGCGCCCTCCCCGGCTTAGCCGGTCTCGCAGTTCTGACGATCTCCAACCAAGCACCCAGACCCGAAGTAGGAGAGGATCGACTCGCGGGCCTCCCATGATTCGTGACAAGTCCGGGTTGATTCCGCGTAGCAATACTCCGCAAGGGACACTGCTGCGAACTCGATCGGGAGACCTCAGTGGTCGTCCCAAGGGATCATCAGATGCACGACCGCGGATGCCACCGCGTCTTGCAAGTCGCGACAGCTCCATGGGTGGAGGTCTCGCTGGTTCCAGTCGCCTGACTAGATCACGTTCGATGATGGGCGCTTCCAGTAGCGGGATGGATCGAAGCCGAGGGCTCACCCGGTCCCGATCGGGACATCGAGATTCGTTCATGGGAGGATCAAAGATCAAGAAATGGGATTCCTCGTCAGCCAACAAAAGTGGACACGGACTTTCGTTGTTGGAGCGCCATTTGCATGAAGGCACCGCAAAAGCCAAGAAGAAGAGCCGCGGTGGTCGCCGGACGTCGGTTGCGTCCAGAAGCCATCTTCAGCCTTCGGTGGCCTCGCTGAGCGTGCCTTCGTTGCTTGCGTCTTAAGGCGGAAGTCGTGGCTTGATAGTCAATGTGAGTGCGTCGTCAAACTGAAGCGGCAATGTTTTGGTGTAGATTGAGCAGGTTGGTTGCACTTACTTGGTTTAGTACGTCCAGAAATCTTGGGTTCTTGTAGTCCTCAAGAGAAACAGATATCGAGAACCATGGGTGCAGCGCTATCGCTCAGTCATGTTCCTAATGTAAAATAGCTACCATAGCGCATAGAATCGTGGACGTTGTACCGGTACGAGTCGAGTCGTTTCGCTAGCACCGTCCAGATCCGCGAGTCGAGTCGAGTCACTGGCGTTATCTAGGAACGGCCCGACAAGTACAAACTTGTACTTGACGTACAGGCTGGTTCGTTTTCGTCTCGGAGCCACAAGGTGGCTTGTATAAAACGTAAAATGAAATAATTGCAATCCAATTCAAAAAACTCAAAATAAAAATACCTTGTTATTAAGAATCTCCGTGACGTGTTGCTAGGGCTCGCTAGCAAGCTATGTACCTACCTAACTTGTTAGCTACCTAGCTAGCTAGTCATACCACACCTACATGTACATGTACAAATAGCATGTTCGCTACTAGTTATTAGTTGTACTGTTTCAAAGCTTGCTCCCAGCCAGGGTTGCTAGATATGTTTGAACTGGGAGCAAGCAACAAACCACAAGCGCATTCGAGCATGTAATTGATGGCTCTGCGCTGGTTTTCTACTGGGGTCAATTTTTTATTCATCTTTTTGATATTTTGAGTTTCTGCAAATGTAATATCGAATAGCCCGGCCATTCGTCTAGTCTGCGATGCCAGATTTGTATGGAAGTTGGAACCTTGTGCTGGCAAAGTAATCCCCAAACCAACATATTGTTGTAGGCTTTCAAAGAAACCCCGCCTTCCACAACCAAAAGAGGATGGATCCTTATCACCTTTATAAGGATAGCATGTATAAAATTCAGACCTCCAGTGCTCCTGTGCCGTAAGTTTTGAGCCATTTTGATGCTCCAAATGTCTGTCGTACATGTCTCTATCATTCACCGAAGCAACCATCCCAGCTCGTACCCATTCTCTACGATTGTCATCCCAATAGTAGTAGGTGCCATCCTTTCTAAATCCCATAGTAACATGTTCAAACTGAGAAGGATCTGCTAGCAAACAGTCAGCCATATGAAGGCATCCTAAATCGACAACAATCATACCAGCCATAGTAAAAAGAGCAGATGCATGGCCAAGCCTTTTCGCCTGGAAGTCCCAACACCAATTAGCTTTGTTATGATCTTTCACTCTTTGGCTTTCATTGACAAGCCAGTCCAATCTTGTGACCAGCATTTCTTGCAAGAAGTCTGCTTTGATTTGCATTGCTTGATTCATAGTTGCATCCAATCCAAATAGATCACGGGCCAAGTTTCTAAAGCTTTCTGTTTGCATCAAAGTAGAAGCAAGAACATTTGTTTTTGCAGTGAATCGGGATTGAGTAGACTGGATAACTACTGCCCCAAGATGTCTCAAAGATGGGGATTGCTGTTCTTGCTCAACATTGTTGTTGTTTGTCTGCCGTGGTTTTGGTTTTTCCAGGATGACTAGCTTAGCTTTACAATCGTCGGCCATTCTAATAAGGCAATGTGACATATCCCCTTTAGAGATATCTTTGAAATTACCTTTTTTTGGAGGCCAGTTGTGAGCAAGATCCCTGGGCCAGCTTGCTGTTTTCTGGATGGAACGGAAACATCGAACGTGAACAAAAGCTTGTAGCTCAGTCTTGGTTGGTTCGTCAAAGGTTGCCATTGGTGCTTGAGCTATAGACATGTTATCAGGTTGCAAGATCTTGTTCAACCTATCTTCGCAAGCTTTGTTGTTTGTCATGAGATTGTTGTATTTAGTCAATTCCTTTTGGAGCTGATTATCCAGTTTTGATTGAGCGTTCAAAGTTTTTGCTGCTCTCAGCGCTATCTGATATTCATGATCTAAAACCTTAGCTCGTTGTCGCCATTCTTGGCTGATGCCTGGTGTTTAGGTACATCTTGGCCTGTCGAATCCTTATCCATAGGAAAGCCCATCTCATCAAAAACTGATTCATTCACATGACCCTGGTGAATGACTTCTGTCATCAATTTGGGAAAGAGCACTTTAAAGTTGTCGACATCTTTGATAGCCATTTGTTTGGTACATGTAGCCATCAAGCCATCGATACATGGATATGCATATTCGGCGGTTCTGTTTGCTCGAGAAATCATCCCATTTTCATAAAAGCCAGCAGCGATGTTATGAGGCGTCGCCACCTTTGTCTGGACAGCAGGTTGTTTGGTTATATAGTCAATCAATGCATTGACTTTTCTCGATGAAAGATTGAGCCCATAGTCACGAGTAGCCTCCTCGAGAGTATTGCAAACACTCTTCTTGAAAGGAAACGCAGCTGGGGAAATGTGTTTATTGGTAATTGTTTTCCCGTAGGCCTTCTCATTTCGGAATTTGGGGCTCAAGTCGGCAGCTTGCTCTGTGGCTGTTCGAGCGGCCGACTGTTTGCACGGGTGCACCTTTCGATCTCGATACTTCTTGAGAGTTTCCATTTCACCAATGGTAGCAAGTTGCGCCAGATCGCCGTCGCACCATGCGACCGCGGTCAAATCATCCGGGATAGGGGTACCCCGTTTCCAACCAAATTGTACCCGAATATCATCAACCCAAGGCAGGAGACAATCCTCAATGAAATGCCTGCATCGAACTTTGTCAGTTTGCTTGTCGTTATCATTGCGTATGAAGACTACGTAGCCCGAATTCTCCCGACCAACAGTAACTCCACCGCCGCCAATGCACAGTCCAGCAATGTCCAAAACCAAGACACCATCTGGACATTTGTCCTTCTGTAGCTCTCGCTCATTCAATCCTGTGATGCTAATCCATATGGGACCACATTGCCCAGCCAGCAGCAGTCATTAGATTGGTTGATTTGACCCGTTGTCCACTGGCAATAGCCGGTGCTGGACCGGTTTGGTAAATGGCTCTCACTCCAGTTTTTGCATCATGCGTTGACAGTGCTGTGATAAAAGCTTCATCAGAAATGTCACTGTTCAAGCCTTCGACTGCGTACTCTCCTGTATCGTTCATGGATATAAGTAAGGCCGCCAAAATTGGTTTCAAAGGAGCCCCCTTGTTGCACTGGCTGACAACATTATACACAAAAAGTTCAGATTCGGTGGCAGTCTTCAAGTAGTCTGTGACCGAAGGAGACAGAGATGTCGTGACCATGAACTGGGAGAAGCAAACGGTAGTAGCAAAAGCAGCAGTCGATCGCCAGGATAGTTCAGCTGTCAACCGTGTTTCGGTTTTGTGGACAGCTTTTTTGACAGAGCTAGTTCTTTGGTTCATTCCAGCAATCGCATTTGTATATCTGCGCACTGTCTTTTGACTTGGTGTTATGATGGATTCTCGGAGGGCGACTTGCCCCTCCTTGGCAAGCTCGTTTCTCTTTTCTTGTTGCATCAAATCCTTGATTTGGTTGCGCTTGAATGCTCTTCTTGGATGAGCAGCAATTGTGTTGACAACTTCTTGAACTGACTGCGAAGAAATGTAGGGCTTGTTTCCCTTTTTCATATACCACTCGTCATCGGGGAATGTATCAATGGTACCACCAGCTGCTTCATGAGCTTGGAAGTTCTGCACCACTCTGTACAGGGCATTAACACTGACAGGAACAAACTGTCTATCCATAATTTCTCGAAGAACACGACCACGATTACGGCTGCCTTTTTGAAAAGAGGTAATAACTCTAATGCATTCACGGCGGCCATACATAGTACCATTCGCTGGAGGGGGAGCAAGACTTGTCGACACATCAGAGTTACTTTGAGTCGATGTTGTTGCTGCTTTCTTCTTCTTCGGCACGGGAGGAGTATTCAGATTGACAGTTTTATGAATCATCACCTGAACTTTCTCGAATGGGGTAGACGGTAGCTGTGGAATAACTGCCAAAGTGGCGCCCCTGTTGGTTTCCCTGTTGGCTTTGGCAATAATACTCAATGCTCGATCATCAAAGCCTGGGAAGGGAGATAGTTTCCTCAAATTTTTGTCAATGTCAACAGAGCTCTGTTCTAAATATTGACTAACTGTTGTAAGCTCTTCGGTAGCTTTTCTCTTTTGTGATCTCGAAGCTTTGCGATCACTAAGAATATTGGTGGCATCAGCCAGTACTTTGGATGCATCTGACATATGCAATACACGGCTCTTAGCCTTATTCGCGACTCGATCCTAGATAGGGTTTGAGTTCGACTCATGCAGTGGCCTTGGATGCATTTCGAAGGCCCTTTAAAGCTTTAGCGACAGCTTCTTGTAAGAGCTGCTGTGTTTGCGCCTGACTGTCTGTCCCTATGTCTGTTTCCAGTGTATGCACTCTGCCCTCTGGTCCCCTTCTGGTCATTGTGCAAGAATTCAATCTGCTTTTCTGCAGTGGACAAGCGACTGGGAAAGGGTCAGCACTGATTTTTGGATAGCTTTGATGCCACTATTGATCTCTTCCCAGGTCACCTACATTGTCAAAAAAAAAGGCAGTGTAATTTTTGTTCATCATTAGACGAAAGTGGAAAGCAAAATATCATATAACTTGTCAGACGGGCCAGGGCCTCCATGATGGATGATGTAGCTGTCACATCTGAACAGAGCAGAGTCCTGCTCCCTGAACAAGCTTGACTGGAATTGCGGAGGTGGTGGAACGGTAGTACTAGAGAAGATTCGGGACTGACTGTTTTGCTTCTGTGGCATGTCCCCATTGCCTAATGGCGTTGTACTTATCCTGGTCTACACGCCGCTGAACTGGGAGGGGGGAAGGATCATAGCATGGTTAGAATGGGGGTTGTCAACAAAAGACATCACCGCAACATGTAGTATATTACCAAGGCCACCATTGCCTTGTTCAATGAGGGCAATGCATTATTCGGTGGAAATAAGATCCGGAAGGGTTGTATCACCCATTTGAAATGTCCTCTGTTGGTTTCCAACATCACCGGTTAATGGCATGAACTCGGAGAAATCGTTTCTGCTGGGGGGTATGATCTCTTGAGTGGGCGGGGCAGCTTGCAAATTTTCATGGCGGGATGTGTCGGAACAAATGGTGCTTGCGTTTAAAGCGGCACAGCAAATATCCGGATTCATCTTGCTGGCTAGATAAAGATTTTTTGGTAGAAGAGCTGCTGTTATAGGAACTGGAAGAGAAAGCTGATGTGGAGGGTGTTTTCCTCTGATTTTTAGCTCTTCGAGGAGGCAGTTCCGCTCTCTCGACTGATGGTCTTCTAGATTCACCGAAAGTTGATGCCCGTTCTGAAGCTCTCTTGCCCATATATCGACTTTACTTTTGACGCCAGCTAGGACACTGCATGCATTGTCTAGATTGGTGGTTGAGAATGGCAAATGTCGCTGTTACCTCCTTCGCCTAAAAAGCTTCGA